TACAGAGACATGAACGCTGATGACGATGCTACACACACAGAGACATGAACGCTGGTGACGATGCTACACACACAGAGACATGAACGCTGGTGACGATGCTACACACACAGAGACATGAACGCTGGTGACGATGCTACACGCACACAGAGACATGAACGCTGATGACGATGCTACACACACACACAGAGACATGAACGCTGATGACGATGCTACACACACAGAGACATGAACGCTGATGACGATGCTACACACACACAGAGACATGAACGCTGATGACGATGCTACACGTACAGAGACATGAACGCTGATGACGATGCTACACGTACAGAGACATGAACGCTGATGACGATGCTACACACACACACAGAGACATGAACGCTGATGATGATGGGGGGGGGACCCGCGTGATTCTAGCACCCCGCATTGTGTAATCGCACCCGTTACCGTCTGCTGCCGTCGTCTGTTTACAAGTAGCGCGCTAAAAGATTGTCTCTGACTGCGGCAACGGTGACGGGACCCCCGCCAGCTGCCATCTCGCTGTTCTACAAATCACCCCTCCTCCCCGCGCGCCTTCTGACGTCAGCCATTGTTTCGCGCGTATCATTGTTTCACGCATAGAAATCTATATGCGCGTGTATTATCGGATGTCTATGGCTTCACGTATTTGCTGTGGCATGTGTGGTAGTTGCGACCGAGCGGAGAATATTTGGTTCTTCCCGTGTTATTTTGTGTGTTTTCGCTGTGACGTGAATCCCAATTGATTCCCATCGAAGCGTGCTTAAATAATTATAATCGGTGGACTGTCCGGTGTGGCAGTAATTGTACTAACCATCACCACTGAGGCTGTTTAATAGCAGGGATAGTTTAATTGACAAAGATCGTTGGGAGATCGACAGGTGTTGTTTGTTTAAACAGATATCGGCGTGGTTTGCTAGTATTAGATCTGCTTATCATGACAGACCGTTGCAGGCAGCTGTAGCATTATACGTTTGTTCTATGGCGAATCGCTACCGAAATGAGATATCTGCTTTCAGGTTATCAAGTTAAGCGTCGCAATTCTGCACGGGATTTCGGGTGAAAGTTTGCCCCCGCAATAACAGCTAAAAGCCGACTATTTATTTAGTCATTATAATTTCTAAAGTCGCCGCAACAAAAAACGAACCTCACATAAGCTCGGGCGTGCGTGACATAATAGTTGTAATGGCTCATGCTTGCCAGCTGTTGTCGTTCGACGCCGATCAAGCTCGCTCCGTCGTCTGCGAGCGCATCTATTGTAATAACCGCGCAAAAATGCGGACCAATTTAGTCCTTAGCGACTAAAGAGTTGAAGTGACCCCATCCCCCCCGACAGCCCGCGCTCGCTAATGCTTGGAGTGATAGTGCTGAATGCGAGATGGCTGCTGTGAATGTGAGCGGCGCACGAACAATAAATAAACAAACAGTGATGATCCCGCCTTAATCCCCGCCAGAGATAGTCTAGTGGGCAAATTATAGAAGATTGCCAGGCATGTATGCGCGCCGATGGCTAAGCCAGGTTAGCGGCCATTCAACCATTGCACGCAATGCTCACCGTGCGTCCGTTTCAACCTCCACCCCCTACCCCGCCCCGCCCCAAGAAAAATCCCCCACGTTACCAGTTACGCGCTCATTACATGAAGGTGAATGCCATTTTTGTGACGTTATATAGTCCCCAATATAATTTATTATTTCAGTTGATAACTATCATTCACTACCACGTAAATAATTGAGCGCGCGCGTAACGTAGTCTTGGCCGCGGCACGACGTAATTCAGACAGTTAATGTTTAATAGTATCATTTAAACTAATTGCGTGCTTTTTTGTATCGACATAAAATAATCGTGTCAATAAATTGCAGGTGTGTCTGTTGGCGGGCGCGCGCACTCGGACCCGATTGTGTTGCCGCCATGGTTCGGCCCACGTCATAATTATCGCCTCTGAATTGTCTCAAACATTGCGTTTAATATTTAACATTTTAATCAAACTAGATTAAACTTTTACATTAATGCTCCGTGTTCGCAGCCGTGGGGTCATTAATTGCGGCACGTCAGGGAATTCCGAACAAAAATTGTTAACAAAGCTCTGGGAGCGCGGCCAACGTTTCGCGCTTCGGGTGGGGCGGGAGGGCTTTTGAGCGGCGGAGGGTGGGAGGGAGGTTGTGCGGCGGAAGGGGGTGGAGATTTTTCGTAATTCAACTCGGCTGAAAATGAGTCACAGAATGAACGCCGGCCAGCAGGAACATTAATGATGCGACGCGGTGTTCATGAAGGTGACGGCCGTCGTGTGACCTTTCTATGCAGGTATATCGCCGCCGTTCGACATACAAGAACTGTTCGTATGTCGAATAGTGATGTATCTGATATGCGCATATGTGATGTATTGCTTACGGTTGGTCCGTGAGAATCACGTGGGAGCTATTTCGGCAAACAGCTGAACATAGCGCCGGCTTGGTATACGTGTTTATCGAGGACAAATTTCATGTATTTTGTGCGTGCGTGCGTGCTTGCGTGCCTGTGCGTGCGTGTGTGTTTGTGTGTGCGCGTATGCGTGCGTGTGCGGGCGCGCCTCTGTGTGTGCGTGCGTGTGCGTGTGCGTGTGCGTGTGCGTGTGCGTGTGCGTGTGCGTGTGTGTATTGCGCGCTGGAGATGGAACCGATAATGTTTGTGCTTATTGTTATTGTTGCTGCTATAGTTATTGATGTTGTCGTCGTCGTCGTCGTCGTCGTCGTCGTCGTCGTCGTCGTCGTCGTCGTCGTTGTTGTTGTTCGATGTGACCGTTATTGTGCATCACGTTCAAAACTTTGCATACCGTTTTTGTTGTAATTAGTAATTGATTAATTTGTATCACCTTGATTATTTATTTCTAATCGTTTCTTGAACGAAGTTTTCACTTGTCCGCCCGTTTTCCTTTTGTGATATTTTATTCATAATTTATCAGCTTTGTTATTCATTTCTATAATCATTGCTTGAACGCAGTTCCTGCTATTGTGCGTCAATTGTTTTGAAAATGCGAGCCACGCTCGACAAAACTCCGAGGCGTAATATTTATCGGGCGCGTGGTTCTGGTTGTGTGTGCCGATACGTGAGCATTCCTCTCTCTCGCTCTCCTCTCTCTCTCTCTTTCTCTCTCTCTCTCTCTCTCTCTCTCTCTCTCTCTCTCTCTCTCTCTCTCTCTCTCTCTCTCTCTCTCTCTCTCTCTCTCTCTCTCTCTCTCTCTCTCACTCTCTCTCTCTCTCTCTCTCTCTCTCGCGTGCGCGCAGCAGCAGTGCAGCACTCATCGCGTACGCAGACGCCCGTCCCGTCGAAGTGGCCCGCATCGCCGCTTTCCCCCTGAAAGCATTGTGGCGATAAAACGCCGCCAGCGAGATAGCGCGTCTGGGAAGGAGGGATTCGCCTGCGCTGTTGTTTTACTGCGATAATTTTACCGATGTTGTAAAGCACAAATGCAGATCGAACGTCGGGCAATGCATATCATCTTACGTCGGGGGGTTTAGAGTGACGGACGAGCGCCATTTACATGTTTTTGTGTCATTTACATATGCTTCCCTATCTCTCTTTCTCGTCTCGGCAGTTTGAACGAGTTGCAGTGTGCGAAGATCCTTCAGTGCCTGTTGGGAGAGGTCACGTGGCTGCACAGCCGCAAGAAGGTAGGTGCGCGTGAGCGTGTGCCACGCGATCACAAAACGCGGGAGTACGTATTTAATTAATTTCCTTTACTCTATGACTTCTGTTAATAGAGAATCATTTACTTGCTCTTGCTCAGTTATTATATGTGCTTGCTTATCTATGTTATACACCTGCTCCGGCTCAGTTATGTGAGCAAGAAGATACTGTTTTACAGAGGTGTGGTATATCTATCCAAATAGTGGTGATATCATACAAATATTTACCTTTTTGTGGGAGAAGCTACGAAGCTATATACTACAGACCTGCCAACCCTTACGATTTTTTCGTATTCCTTACTAATTCCAAGATGTTTTTACGAATGTACGAACTAACTGAAAAACTTACGATTTTTTACGTCTTGAAAATTAATGTGTTTTTTACATTGGGAGCCGAGAAATATCTGGCGATTGTATGCGCAGCATTTTTGGATCTCGCGTTCACGTTGTTTTCGCGTGATCTAGAGTTAGTACTATCATTCATTGCACGCATAACATACAGAAAAGAATAACCGCCTGCTGCAAGAAAAGAAAAGCCTTACTATTTTCATGAATCACAGGTTGGCAGGTCTGTATACTAAACGCGAAGAATACTTTGTTGGGTGATGGTGAAGGAGTTTTAGAAAGCACACAAACACACATACGCATACGCGCTCATACACACGCACGCACGCACGCACGCACGCACACACGTCTCTCTGTCATTCGATCTTTACAATGTAGTGAGTCTGGCGGGCGCGGGCGGGTGGAACAACCTGTGTGAGTGTGAGCACGCGGATGAGAATCCCCTCACCCCGTGCCCTCCGACTGTTTTCCTATCATCTTATGAAGCATTTCGCAATTGTATCGCGCGCCGTCGGCGTGTCAGGGAACCAGACAGCCCGTGTCAGCGCCGATTGTCGGCGAAACAAGGGCCGCGAATTCCGCACTATTCACACACGTATCGGGCCTCGCGCACGAACGCGCCACGCAGACGATCCGTCTCTGCAGCGTGCGAAGCGACCGCTGTAATCCGTCTCCGCGCGTCAAAGGCGAGAACGATATTTCGCTGATGGGAGCATGTTTGTGTAAACGCCGTCTTTGACACGCTGATAAAACGGCAACAATCCGCCTTTGTCAAGCCCGTCTAAGATCTCATTTTTAATGTGCTTATTATATTTTTAAATCCGCCCGCTCAGCAGGCCCCAGAATTATCGCCCTGTGAGTTGGGGGGGTGAAAGCCGTGGTGGGCATACTGTCGTCACGGTAGCGTGGGCGAGGCGCTGACAATGGGCGCCGTGCCGGGCCCACGCGACACACAAGTGGACCAATTGTGTGTCGCCCGGCCGCTGCCGTGCTGCGCAGGCAGCGGGGTCGGTTATATTGTCGTTAATCACGGCGTAATTTGTACGTGGCGTTCCAGCCACAAGTGCTCTTTACCTGCATGATATATACGCATTACGTCCTAATGCCCGCTGTTGAAGTGGGAGCCTACAGGGCACGTTGGGAAGCTGAAGGGCAGTAGGGGAGTGTTGTGCTGGCCAGGGGAGCGATGCGTTATACATGCGGGTCCGCATCGTCTTTTTACCATGCTAGTTTCTGTAGGCTTTATTGCGCTTTTAGTCTCGACAGTCCCTTTTATTAAATGATCAGATTTCATTCCATTTTTAAAAGCACCTTATTAGTTCAGCTTATAAACACCTCGTTAGTTCGATTTATGTTCGAGATCAGTCATCGTCGATATTAGTATCCATGTCCGTGTGATTGTCGCCGTCACATACCCGATTGATTCCCCGTAAATCGTTAAAGCTAGTCCGACACTATTATGTCGCACTGATATCCAGCGGATATATATCCAAAGATATATGATTCTCGCATACTAGGTATGAGATATCCCCCGAGATAGCCACCGAGATAAATCCTCGGGATAACTTGCAGACCCCGACATGGGTTTATCTCGCACTACTTTTTAATCCAATGATTTTCCTTAATTACAAGGTCAAAGCTCACATTTACAGTTTTTGGCCAATTATGCAACAATACTCAAAAGTAATTATTAAAAAAAAATTTAAAATAAATAAATTTAAAAAAATTAACCAAAAATTATATATATAAACATTGGAAATTTTGCAAAATATTGAATTACTATTTGAACTGAAATGTTCTTTATGCAATAAAAAGTAAAAATACAAATACAAATACAACAAATGTAAAAAAAAATATGCGAGAAAAAGGTGCTATCACAGTACGCTCGTATGAGACGGGATATCCCATCTCAAGCTCATATACAGCTCGTCGTCATCTTAAGACTCGTCACATGTGCTACAAGTTCTCCACTATATATAGGCCCTATGGGATGGGAATGACAATTTGTGTTTTCAGCTGAAAATAGCCGGGGTCCAGCGGGCGGGGGGGGGGGTTGCGGGGAGGGTAGCGGGGGGCGGTCAGGTCCAGGGCGAAGCCTGGTCAGGGGGTTCAGGAAGTTTTTGAATTTTCACAACTTACAAGGCATAAAATTGCATTAGGAGACACATACAGAACAGTATTGTTACAGAGCATATTACAGTACACTGCATGGAGTATATCTTGCACTGTCATTATCATAACACCAGAATTAATAATCAATACAAAAATTTACTTACATTCTGCAAACAAAATTATTTTAATGTACACTTCGATCCACACTGTCCCAAAGGCTAACCTTTATATAATATAAGATGTTCATTGTCCAGGCAGTTTCAAATTCACTGCAGTACAAACACTGTGCCTTGCCAGCTACATCGCACTTTCCGACATAGTCGTTCAACCGCTCCGTCACCTCTTCAGTTTTCTTCACGATTTTGACACTCAGTGTGACAGATTTTTCTAACAAAGCGCCAGGAACTTGTTCCTCACATCTTTGTCGATCTCTGCTATGGTAGATGTGTCCGCCTTCTCAATTAATCTCACCATATTTAGTGGTCAAATGCATGAAAACACTGCTCGAAATGAATTCTGTTTCGATTTATTTTGCACACTCAAGCCGTACAAGGCCTTCATCATTTTACATACGCCCTCCACAGTACTTAACTGCAGACAGGCGTATTGTCTAGACGCATTGTCTGGTTGGCTGATACAATGTATACATACATCACATTTATGCTGGCGCTTTGCAGAATATTTGCTATCATTGCAAAAATTTGCTATCATTGCTTAATGGGATTACAATGTTACAAGCACTTGCTTTATTACAATGTTATTAAAATGAAGGACTGCTTGACTGTAAAATGAATAATGTGGTATTACCCTCTCTACCCTCCCTCCGCCTAAAAATCTCAACGGATTTAGCAGTTTCGACAAATCGACCCTACAACTTTTGAAATCCGCGGATTTCGCGGCATCGCGGAGATTCGCCATCCCATAAGTGTAACGGCGATCACTCATATATGGTGTTATAACAGTATAATAATATATATATATATTATATATATATGCAGGATAATAATGACAATGTGGTAAATATTAATATAATGTGTAAGCTGCTTATGGCGTTTATAATACTCTCCTGATTTTTATTTATTAAAATTCTTTCGCTCTCGGCGGGCAATCAATCAAGCGGCTTCTAGTCTTTCACGCGTTGGTGGTTGTTTATTATATTTCTCCGTGGTGCTCGACTCTTTCTCCTTCTGATTTGAGTGTTTTTGATTTTGGTATTACCGGCGGGCGAGTTTCGCAGCATCCTGGTTTAATTTATTTCCCGATTGGCGCGCAATCCGTGCCTCACACGGCTCGCTGATATATCCTACCCTCCCTGTCTCTCTGCGGCGATTAGTGCGAGTACGTGCTATACGCAGCCGGGGCCGGCTGCAGCATCGGCAGGCGAGCCTGCTGCCCCCGCGCATTTATCCGCATTATTGTCTCATTATTTACATCCGCGCCCCAATTCATTCTGCACGTTTTTTATTCGGACTCATTACCGGTAGCGATCGCTCGGCGCTTTCCGCCAGCTCCTCTGCGAGACTAGTTAGGGAGTGCGCGGTGTAAATAGTGGTTTGCTGATCGGCCGAGTTTTGTTGGGGGGCGTGGTCGGAGACTGGGCTGCACGCGTCATTGATTTCGGATATAACGACGTCGTGCGCGGAAATAAACGCGAGTGTTTGCGTTTCGTATGACACCGCTCGCGTGTGACGCGTCGTGTGGTCGGCGAATATTCTCCTCTAACTTCGTATCAATGATTAAATGTTCTAAATTAACAATCAACGGAAAACGTCAACTCGTCGAGAATAGTTGGGAAAGCGATTTCGCACAGTATTATGTATGGTAATTAATATGAAACGTGAAAATCATGTTATACCGGGATAATAATTAGGCTGAGATGATTTATTGTACCGTCTTATTCGGGTGTATTTACGCGAAATCAGCGTAGTGACGTCAGTTCTTTCGCGCGTTGGTCGGTGCCACAGTTTTAATAGACTCCGGGAGAGAGAGAAGAGATGACCTCCTCGATAGAGAATAGAGAGATTGAAGTTTATGCTCGATGTCCTTACTTTCTATTCCTACTGTTATCACACACAGCACACACACACCACACGAGACACACGACAGCACACACCACACCACACACACACACCACAACACACACACAACGACACACACACACACACACACACTACATGAACTGATGACCGACTACAATCAAGCTGAAGGGTCTTGCTACAGTACAGAGACATTGAACGCTGATGACGATGCTTTTTATCTCAGGCGTAGTGGTTGGGAGTTGAAGCTGCGTGACGATTTTGCTACACGTTACAGAAGACACTCATGAAACGCTTGATGGACGTGTACACGTCCCTTCCTATTCAGAGACCATGAACGTCGTGACGATGTTAACGTCAGAACTGAACGTGATGACGATCGTCTACAAGTACAGATCAGCATGAACGCTTGAATGGACGGATGCCTAGCTACACCACACAAAGAATGAACGCTTGATGACGATGCTACGACGTACAGATGACCTGAACGCT